GGGATGCGCTCTCCTGGCGCTGAGGGATGCGGGGGGATGCAGGATGCGCTCTCCTGGCGCGGGGGGATGCGGGATGCGCTCTCCTGGCGCCGGGAGGTCGCCTCGCCTGGTTCTCGCGTCCACCTGGCTGAGGTGGTGCCTACGCACGGGAGGGATTTTTCTCACGGTAGCCCTGTCCTGCTTTTCCAAGGCTTGGGAAGCCGGGCTGCTGTCAGCGTGCGGGGGCCAGGGCTTGCTTTCTTGTAGGAGTGCGACTTCACTGGACGGTTAATGGGAGAGGCCAAGGCGAATTCGTGCCTCTCTCAGCTTTCTTTCAGTGTGCGTCTCCACGTGAAGAGAAGCCTCTGACCTTTCCAGGAGCTGATGGCGGGGTCACTCCTCTAACATCTGCATACGCAGAAGAGTGATACGCTTTTCCTGACGCTCAAAGAATCTTGGTAGCTCTCGTCCGTGTGTGACGTGGGCATACACAGCGCTGTAGGCGCCCCGGGCCACGCTGCGTTTGGCCGTGCATCCGTTCATTATTCTCAGTGGGGATGCAGCAGTAACAAAAAAGATCTTTTTCATTGTTTCCTGTAAGCAAGGGAAGAGCTGGAATGAGCTCCTGTCAAACTGGAACTCCAGTGACTGTGCAAGGGATTACCGCTGGATTAAGCTCTCAGTGTTTCATGTGGATCGGGCCCAGGAGCCTTTTCCCGAAGCCTGATATGTAACTTTGTGCTGGCTGGCTGGGGGATTTTGAGAGTTTTATTTTTCAGTGTGAACAGCGGTGATTATCTGGTATGAACGCAGTAAACAAACATCCCTGGGTTTACTGTGCTTATTCTAGGCAGCGTAGCACAATGTTTTGCAGTTGGGAGTGTTGTGAAACTGGTTTTCAGTTGGCTTGAAAATACATGTGGCTGTGTGGCCAAATCTGCCCGGAAACCTCTTGGCTAGTTCCCTTACTTCCTTGGGTACCTGGAAATAATGCCCTATCCAAACCCTGGCAATTCCTTAGTAGGTACCCGCTCTTCGGCTGCCGTCTCCGTACAGCATCGCAGTAAGTGCAGCCTGCCAAGCTGCAGCGGGCAGGATGTCAAACTTCCGTAGGTTCCTGGAATAAAGGTTGCTCAAGCAAATGTAAATATTACTTTATTGCACTAGGAAACTTTGTCATCTGCATTATAAGCCCACAGTGGGGGAAGGAAAACCAAACTGCTGCTTCAAATGAGAATTATTTACGCTGCAGGCGAAACCTTAGGAGCCACACTGGTGCCCCTCTGCGCTTGCCGGCTGCTTGCTGCTCCCTTCAGTCGGTGCGTGGGGCTGGAACAGCACAGCAGGAAGGGAGGGGAGGGCGGCAGTCAGAGCAGAGGGCTGGGGAGAGATGATACGAGTTGGATTTGTAGACTACAGGGTACTTGCTGAAGATTGTCTCTGGAGAGCAATCCCAGTGGACCCTGGGCCGTCTCTTGAGGGAGTGATGTGCCCTGTGGAGAGCGCTGGGGCCGTCGCGTTGCGCAGCGGCAGAGCTGAGCGGGCGGCGGTTGTGGCCGGCTGGCTGATGCTCAGCTGCTGCGTGATTTCCATGTGGGAAACAGGGCAGGAAAAGCCAAGTGTCTATGCGAACTGACCACTGAGAGGGAAGCCAGGGTGCCCAGAAGGTACAGCAGCACCGCACAAGTGCTGTCCTGGGGGGCACACTAAGGCTGCTCCCTTCTCACTGCATCAGGGTTGTAGTCTTGGGAAGCTCTTGGGAGTTGGCATGGGGGACTGTTCCCGGGAGGCTCGCTAGGGTCTTGGGGTTCTCAGCATCGATCCGAGCTCACGTGCGAAGCGGAGGGGTTAGTCAGGAAGACGCCCCGGGAGCAGGAATTGCCCCGTATCTCTGCACTTTGCCCGCTCATGAACAGCAGCCAAAAGGTTTAGCACAGCCAGTGTGTATGGGCTGAGAGCTGGGATGTGCTGGGACGTTGCTGGCGAAGTCACGTTTGTTTTTTCTCTGCTGTAATTGGGCCTTTCCTCCCATTTACCAGAAAGAACAACCTGCCTTATCTGCCTGTTCACCCGACCACTGCTCAGAGGCTGCCACACGCTCAGTCACGGGCGAAGAGAGAGCCGCGCTCAGGAGGGGCTGGGAAGAAGACGTTTCCAGCTACTTTTGCCACTGCAGTCTCTGCAAAGCTCCTGTATTGCTCAGGTGAGTTTGCTGGGGAGAGAAGCATGAGATTTGTAAAGACTAGTTCAAGCTGCAGATAGGGAGGGGTGTTCAGAAGTTCCTTGGTTTTGATGTGGTTATCCTCAGCCTTTATCTGATTTAGTTTCTGTGTTGATTTAGTGATGGAATAGTGAGTTTTCTCGGAACTTTCCAGGGGGAGAACCAGTCAAGAGCTAGGACATCGGTGTTTCTTCCCTCTGCCTTGCAAGGGGAGCAAGGACCAGGACTTTTGCTCCAGGCTAGGAAGGACAATCCTGAGTAGGTCTGGGCAGATAAAAGTAACACCTTTTGGTCCTAGGGCATAGATTCAGCTGTAACTGGAGCAGTGGAGCCAGTGGTACGCTTTCTAGCTGACTGTGAATGTAGGAAACTGATGAGATGCTTTTCTGTCTTATCTCTGCCTGCAGAAGGTTAAGATGATCGTGTTCATTCTCATAGCCAGGATCCATTTCTCAGTTGTAAGTGATGTCATAGTGTCAGCATGCCAGTGCAAAGCCTAGTGAGACTGCAACTGGACCAGTATAAAAGAGCCATGTACTTTTTCCTCTTACTGTCAAAAAATGGTTGGGTTTCCTACACAGGTAAAATTAAAAGGTATAAATTTATTGGCCAGAACCAAAAGTTTTTAGAAGTTAATTACCTAGTGAGCTGTGAAGGCTGTGCTCCAAGTAAACACACCTTCAGAAATGACATGAAGGGGATGAGGTAGCCAGTGTGAGAGCTTCTGAAGCGATGCTTGGTGTCATGAGAACAGCACAACGATTTAGTCACTTGTTCCAGATTATCTCTCTTGAGATGTAAAGTCATTGCTTCTTGGCCAGGGAGACCAGCTGTTACTGGCGGCAACGGGTACGGAGCGGAGAAGGCCAGAACAGACGCTGACGTGCACTCCTCCATGATGGGAAGTTGCAGCAGGCAGCACACAAACCCCACGCTGTCTCCTGGCCGCACACACAACGATCAGGAGGCGGCATTAGACCGGCTCATGTCTAGTCCCAATTTTAAGGACTGAACTGCTTCCCCTGTGTTGTTTTATCAAACCATGTGTCTCCCAGTGGCGCATTAGAACCTAATCCGGCTCCGTTCATGAGAGTGGGGATGCACATGAGTCGCTGAAGTGTTAAGGACGAACCCGTGTACCGGATCTGCCAGTGGTCGAGCTTGTCTCAGCTGTGGGGACAATATTGACGTGAAGCAATGCCAGGGCAGCGTAATCCGGCTAGAGCAAAGTCCCAGCCAGGAGGTTGTCAAAAGCAGACGTGCCTTTGCACAGGCACATTTGTTCGCTTGTAGTCCGCCCTGAAATTCGTATTAAAATGGATTTTGGTTTCACAGTCTACAGGCATTGACACCCCCCTGTTAACTCAGCTGTGGGAACAATACTGAAGGACCTTAGGCACGCGCTGTCCTCCACATCAGTCTTCTCAAGAGCCCCAGTTACTACCATGGTTCAAATCGTGGAGGGGAGGAGAGGCTGTTGGGTGGAGGATCCAGGCAGAAGTCCCTGGCTCCTCAGCCATGGGAAAGCAGGTACCTTGCATCATGATTTGCAGTGTTGTAATATGGATTGACAGCTTTTCTTTTTTAATCCTGTCCTCTAGCGTTCCTGGGCCTACCTCTTCTCTCCCAAGATGCTGAAAAGCGTCCTGTGTACGCTGTTGTTCATGGGAGCCTTGCCATCAGTGGCTGAGATGTCCCAGGGTCACATCTCAGTGGTCTTGCTGGGAGCCACAGGTGATTTGGCCAAGAAGTATTTGTGGCAGGGTTTGTTCCAGCTCTACATGGACCAAGTGAGCAGTGGCCACAGCTTCACTTTCCATGGGGCTGCCCTGACAGCTCTGGAGCCAGGGCAGAGGCTGATGTTCGATGTGCTGAAGAAGCTGGCGTGTCCCCCCGACGAACCTCCCAACCGGTGTGCTGTGCTCAAGGACCAGTTCCTGAAGCTGAGCCAGTACCACCAGCTGAAGTCTGCCGAAAACTACACTGTGCTGAACAGAGAGATTGAGACGCAGCTTCGCCAGGAGGGGCTGAAGGAGGCTGGAAGGATCTTCTACTTCTCAGTACCACCATTTGCCTACACAGAGATCGCCCGCCACATCAACAGCAGCTGCAGACCCCCTCCGGGAGCCTGGCTGCGTGTGGTGCTGGAGAAACCTTTTGGCCACGACCTGGAGTCAGCCCAGCAGCTGGCTGCAGAGCTGACCACCTTCTTCAGGGAAGAAGAGATGTACCGGGTGGACCACTACCTTGGCAAGCAGGTGAGCAGCTTGCAAGGCGCAGCCTCTTGCTAGGTTGAGGGACTTAGCGGCTGGGAGAGTGTTGGATGTCAGCTCTGTGTCCCATGAGAGTGTTGTTCCCCTCTCGGTTTCAGGCAGAGCTACTGAGTGTGCTCCCAAGCCTCGAGTCCCGTTCTGTTACTCATCCTGTCCTGTGCTGCTCTCCGTCTTCTCACAGAGCAGAGAAGATGTGCAGAGCAAAGCAGGGCTTTCTCCCGTTAGTGATGAGGATCCCCTCTCCAGAGGGAAGCCAGGGTGCAGAGGTGAACTGTGTGTGCGCGTGAGGGAGAGATGCAGAATTCATCTGGTCTTTTAACAAAGTCAGGGCTTTGGTTTTCCTGAATAAGCAACGCCCTTTCCCTCTCACAGTTCTCCCATCTCATTACACACCGACCTCTCTGCATAGCCACGGCTTCTAGAAGCAGGTTTTGATTTGATATGAGATGGAGCAGATGGGACGCTGGTTTTGCAGGATGCTTAGGAAGAGGTTTCTCCCTGCCCTGCGCTCCACTCAGGGCACGGAGGACTGGCTGCTGCAGGGACAGCTCAGGATGCGGAGCTGCGTTGTCCCAGAGGGAATGTGTTCAAGGACATGCCATCCTTGCTTTAGAGCAATGTGATACCACATTTTGAAAGTAGCTTGTCCCAGCCCTAGCGCTGTGGCCAGATTTTACTCCGAAGGTTGCATGTCCAGCTGCAAGGAAAGCATCTCTGCTAAGTGGGGGAATTTATTTTTGTTTTTTTTCTCTTTTTTCTCCCAAAAAAGCAGATGGCTTTAGTGGTGTAAGCATCTGACCTGATCTATTTCAGCACTTTGGAACTGTGCATTAGTCCCGGGATGGTCTGACTCATCCCTTTGTCCTTCAACGGCTATAAAGTGGGAGTAGTTCAGCCTTTTTGCATGAAACCTCGAACTGCCTCAGCAGGACCTTTAGTGTCCGCTCCGTAGAGTCATTGGAGACCCCACTGTGCATCACTGCAGCCTCCCTTGCGGATTTTGTCTTCCCTGACCCGCTCTGCTCGCTGCTGTGTGGCATGTCTGCCGGCACTCCAGAGCTGGGCGCATCCCAGCGCTGGATGGGGCCCTGAGGCAGGGATGCTGTGGACATCTGCTGAGTTTTTGTTGGGTCTCTGGTTTCTCCCTTCACAGGCTGTAGCCCATATCCTGCCTTTTCGAGATCAGAACCGGCAGTTTCTGGATCCGAAAAAATAGTAGAGATTGTCTTGAAATAGACTGTGGATGCTAAAGGTTGGTGAGGCGAGTGTGCCGAGCTGGAGTGAATGAGCGAATGACGAGAAAGTGGCTCCTGCGGCAGAGCTGGTGCCGAAACAAAAAAGAGCAGATGACTGCTGTGTTGCTCCCTTGAAACAGAGAGGGACTGTCTTACACTTCCTATGCTAGGGACTGACTCAGTTCCAGGGGGTGTTGCTGCTTCCAAGAAAAGATTCCCATTGCAGTTCAGCTGGGAGAGGAGGCAGAATCCCCCACCCTCTTCTGCTGCAGGGTCTGGGGGCACTGCCCTTAGGTCTCTATCCCAAATCTTGGCACTGGGTTTGCAGCTGATGCAGTCTAAGGCCACTTCAGTGCTGCAAGAACCTGGATGTTTTAAGAACCCTTTTGTATTCCTGCCCTCTTCGATACCGAGCTTACGCTGAGAATACAGGCGTGCTATGTTTTGGAAGATGCTTTTGCGTCTTTTGCCTGGATATTACTCCTGTCAGCGAGTTGGTGTCAGTGCAGGCGCTCGGGTCAGTCTGTGCTTGTCTGCCTGTTTCTTTCCCTTCCTCTCTGTAGTCAGAGCATTGCAGGGAGAAAATCCAAGCGCAGAGTTGCCAGCATGGGTGTCCTGCT